GTCGGGCGCAGATCGTTGTGCCCAGTGACACCGGCCGCTTGGCCCGGAAAGTCACCTAAATGATTTAATGGGGTTTAAAGTCTGCAAAGAGGTACGGATTGCGTGTGTCAGAATAAAGCCCTCTTTCTGGAAACTGGTTGTAGGAGCGTAGTTCTTTAAAAGTTAAGAAGAAGACATACAGCGTAAAGGAGCTATGCGTCGCAGTGGTCTATCAGCAGTGGCATAGCAGCCCTGCTGGCTCCATAAACTATTTTTCTGATGTACAGTGCTAACTTGCTAATAACTGACTGTCCCTTAGTGACTTGCTTTATTTACACGCTCACTACAGGCAGGTGTGTTTTTCCTGTTCAACAGCCACACTTTTTACAGCAAAACACCTTCCTTTATCCTGAGATACTTCAGCTTGTCAGTATGCCAATCAGTTTTGCCTAAATTTTAGTCTTTTAAAAGTGTTCATCTTCTAAAAGGAGACCCCCGCTACATATATTTCAAGTTATATTTTCAGTGAACGTATAAGCATTCATTGTGCTTCCTAAGATGTCTGTTGAAGTGGAATGATAGATGTCTTCAAAATGATCCAGAAAAAGGAAGGAGAATGTTTTCTGTTATGTCAGACTGAGAGTAGGAATGGAAGAGATACTTATTGTATTTTCAAGTTGAATAATTGCAGATAGCTCACTATCCTAATATTTTGAATTATCACATTGGAAACATAAGTATGACAGTATTGCTAAGTATTGCTGCTTGCTTAAATCTGTTCAGAGCCAATTTTGCAAATATTTTTGAAAGAAGCTCAGTTTTCTGAGGAGCTGTCTCTGCGGTACACAGCAACTTTCCTAACTAGAAGTTTTTGTTGGACTGCCTCTACTTAGCCTTTTATTTCTACCCTTTTTTTCTCTTACAGGGAGATGAGCTCAGCCCAAGTTAAGTCCTCAAAAAAGGTGATCAGTTTTTGTCAAAGTCAGCTGGCTGAACTGGTTTACAACCTGTTTGTGCAGGCACCAGTTCAAGCATAGGCAGAGAGGGAATGGACCCTGCAGCCAGGAATGGAGATGAGGGGTAGGGAGATGGTAGCTGCTCAAATGTAGCTTTACAGCCACGTAAACTAGCCTACCTGATCTGTCTTGACGAGAGGTGTAAAAAAAACCAAAAATTAGGCAAGTGAAGGAGTAAATTCTGGCAAAGTATACAGTATTCATAAGAGATACTTATTACTGAAGAAATCTGAGTGCCTCAAATGCCTCAAATTCTGTGCTTTTATAAAGGTATGTCTACTTGTGCAAGTTTCCAGAAGTGGAAGGGTTTCTTTTTGGGTGGGACTGATGTGCTTGCTTGTGAACTCTGTAGCAGCACAGATCTGTAGGATAGGAATATGCATTAAGCATTGCAACAGCGTTGTTTCCTAAGCAATGATTCAATAAATGTCATTCTAGTGTTTATTTTGTCTGATAAGTATATTTTGTCATTCATGTATGTGTATCTCAGCTGCTCCTCACTGAAATGCTCAAAATAAAATTCTTGGCATGGTGTAGTTACCTAAGTTAGGTAAGTTTGCTTTGTGTTGTCTTAGGTCGTAAAAGCCCAGGTACACATGATCTGAATTTCAGGAAAGTAGCTAGCCTTACTTTTCAGGATATCTCACAGTTTAGGACCTTGAAATCAAGTTTTTGTGTCTGAAAAACAGTGTTCTTACATCTGCTGCTCTTCTAGCCAAAATTAAGAATGTGTCGTTTTTCCAGTGTACCCCTTCCCACTTCCTATAGGTTGTGCACGTGAGTGGAGCATAATTATATACCCTTCTCAAAAGGATTTTGTAGCAGGCTATTAAAATGCATGACAGATGATTACAGGGCAGGAACGTGCACGAGACATTCCAGGGAGAATCCTTCAGTTAAGAATGAGGAGATGGTGATTTTGGTGTGTTGTGTATCACAGTAGAGCCCTAAACTCTGATTTGAATTCTCCCATGCTGAAAACATCTGATAGTTTCTTCAAAGAGCATGT